TTATCGTGATCAGACGTCATATAAAAATATGGATGGCCAGATCAAAGCGGATGGGTATAAATAACTCATCTGCACCAAACCCTAACCCTAGCCGCTAGAGCCCATTGCCGGAGAAGACAATCCAACCCGCTGGGGAGCCGACCGCCGTCACCCGCCGCCGTACTGGAGCAATTTTCGACTGCCAAACGAGGTAAAAATTTCCTCTTTTGCATGTAATTCAATTTTAAACTCATTCATGGCCAAATTGGAGTAAAAGAACCGGCCGATTGACCAGAAAATGCCGCTGAAGCTCGGCGGCACTGCCGCGGGGTGTTTCAAAAAATGCCTCCAATGAGGCCCTTCCTGATTCTTGTTCGATGTGATTTTTTCATCGTTGTGACCACTGTTTCCTTCTCTACAGGTTGACCAGAGTAAAACACTCAACCGCAAGGTGAGCCGGAAGAGCCGCCGCATCGGAGAGCTCCACTGCCGGTGAGTTTCGATTTTCTACGTTTTTTCGGTCCACTGAGGGTTCTAAGTGTGTTTTCTCGCAGGAACCGGTGTAAGTTCGGCTGAATTCGGTCGAAAACGTCCAAAAACAGCAAACCCGAGGTGGATCGCCGCCATGGGCAGCGGTGCGTCGCCAGAGCACGGAGGAACTATCGTACCGGAATTCCAAAATTGGCCGAGTAGGCATTGGGACTGATTTTTGGGTTTATTTGGGACACTTGTAGGTACCGTAAGCGCGTTTCAGTTCCCGAAGAAAAATTCAGGGAACCCAAGAATTGTCCGTAGGCACAGTAACCATCTAGTTTTCGGCGTCGAATCAAGTAAGGACCCCTCACCCTATTTTCTATTATGGAATTGAAGTTCAAATAAATAATAATACGGTATTTTGTACAAATTAAATGGATATGATTGATCAATTACGGATTGCTAATGGAACCCAAATCGAATATTATTTTCTGTCGATTACTGTTGATTTATTGTACAGTCTAAAAGCATGATGATATCTGATTTATATATTGTATAGTTTAAATGCATATGTTACTGTCTTACTTGACTACTGTTTGATTTTGGGGATCTAAGATATGATTGCATTGTTGGATGCATGTTACTTGTTTATGTATTTATGTTTGATTTGGCGACGGAGACAAAGGACAAACAGGAATGAGATGTGATCTGATAAATGGATAAAGTGACAGCCTCACTAGATATCTTGGGAGATGGTGGATGGACCGGGTTCATAAGGAACCCTACCGTGAACGTTGTCTCATACCGGACGGGGTATGAAGACTTGGTTATTTGGCGTTCATACCGGACGGGGTATAGGGACGACCTGCTTCACCCTCATACCGGACGGGATATTAAGGTTTAATGTCTTGGCACTCATACCGGACAGGGTATGGGAACGGCCTTGGAATTAAGATTGTTAAAGAAAATGGTTCACGTGTAGCGGAGACACCCCTATGGATTCTAATGGATACTAATAGGCTGGTGAAATGTGAAACGGTGATTAATTATTGTCAAGAATTTATAATATGTTGTATGTTACTGATTATGCATGAAATTGTGATCCGTATGATATTATTGCTTTCATAATTTGTTTCCATAAATTCCCCAATGGTAAGAAAAAAGGTAAATGGTTTTATTTTAAATAAATATATTAGTTTAAATCTACTGCTTTATTAGTTGTTTGATTTTTTACCAACCTTTAATTATGTGACGGTGATATAGTGTGATGTCCTTACTGGATTAGTGTAGCTCACCCCTTATTTAACTATTTCAGATCAGGAGGACCCAGTTCCCAAACTCGATTTGCAAGAAAGTTACGAGTAAATGTTAGATACTTTATAGTTTCCCATATTTTTTTCATTTTTTGTATTTTATTCAGAGAATTTGTTCCGTGGTGTTAGTACTTTTGAGTTATCATGAAAGAGATGTTAACCCTA